CGATTTAACAGTAAAAGAAAAAACTTAAGTCAACAAGCGTTAAAAACGAACTTTATGGGTCTATGTCAAAAGAAGGATAAATCAATTATTTATGGTCCACAACCGATAACGAACCACACATCCATCTAGCCATAAATTCCTGAACTGGCTTTGCATGTAGCGGCTAAGATCAACAAATCGCATAATTAAAGGAAAAAAGTCGACAACCGTATTATATGCATAAATAAATGACGGCAATAACATTCGAATGTTGACAGTGAAGCAGGTATTCGGCACAGAATTGTCTGTGAAGCTCAGGCGTTGGTAATCCCAGATAACAGCATCATTTTTACCTGACTTTACGGCGTAATAACGGCATAAAGTTTTATGCTTGTCTACCTGGTAGGAACGCCGAGAAACACGTTTCGACCCGAAATTTTCGCCATTTCCGCCCCATTCCTAATTGCTGGGGCACTGGACCATTGGTCTACACAAAGATGGGAGAAGACACGCTGGCGACCGAAGCATCCTTTCCTAAACCCGACCGATAGCCACAAACAATCAGTCAAGGGCCAAAAGAAGCTTAGATGATCACTCTAAAAGGCTTTCTATTTTAAGCTTCCAACGTCGATTATATTTCAGAATATTTGACAAATTTTTGTTTTCTACCATATCTATCGTTTTTAGTGATACAATTTAGGTTTCAAAATTCAAACTATTTCATGTTTCATCAGCAGATGTACAAATTTGTCAAAAATGTCCTCAATATTTTTAAATATTTTAGAACAAAAACTAAAGTGCAGTAAGTGAACACATTTATAATTATGACAGCAATAATGATTTGTTTAGAGAACCTGAAACAACTTATACCTTGAAACAAACATGTTGTTTAATGTATTAACAATTTAAAACCAATTTATACATTATACATTCAAGGTTGTATATAAAGAAACTAAGGAATTTATAAACCGAAAAAAACCAAAATTTTTGTCAACATCAAAATGTGTAAATTTGTCTCAAACACAGAACGTAGCGAAAAAATGTAAAATAAAAAACGTCCTTTAGTTGGCGATGAACGAGTTTTCTTTCTGGTCGCCCCTTACGTACAGTGGGGGAGACAAAGACAGCTTGTTCGTCCAGTACCAACTTCCGAACCTTTCTTTATTTATCGAAACTTAGTATTTGTTTACAAAATTTACAAATGATTTCAAAATTGACTTCCTCTTTCTCAAGTTATATATTTATAGTAGATGTTCAATTAGTGTAACGTTTGGAGACCACAATGTCTAATTAAAATCTTATTAAATGTGGAATGAAATTTTCAGTAGTGTCAAAATACAAATAACTTTTATTCGCCCAAGTCTCTTATCGAACAATAAATTTTGATTTATTATATTGTCATAATCTTTCCTTGCTTTGTTAACTTTAAACCATGAGTTATCGGCCACAGTAATTCAATTAAAAATTATATTCGTATGCATACCTACTGATAAAACGGACTTTACGAGCGCTGTGAAATTGAATTTATTAGATATTTATATTCCACCTGCAACGTTATTCCAATTTTCTTGAAATTTGTTGAAGGGTTCACAAAAAAAATCACAGTATAAGATTAAATTTTTTTATACAGAGTGTAATAGTTATTGTTATAAAGACGTTTTTCGGCTTTTAAATTTCGAGATAATGTCATCAAGTTTTTGCAGGAGATGAACAGATGTTATGCTTATGATAATCTTAAAACGTGTGCAAATTACAGAACATTTGACTGTGTTGTTTCTAAGCTAAATTTTATATTTTCATCAACCTTGGGATAATGAAATATAATTTAAACGCAGATATACAGGGTGAGTCACGAAGCACATGGTCCTCGATATCTTATTAATTACTAGAAATAGTTAGAAAAAAATCACAGACCAAAGTTGTATGGTTTTTTGAGCATTAAAATTATTTTTAACTCTACAGAGTATTCTGTTTTTAAGGTGTTTTAAATGAAACACCCTATATGTTTTTAGATATTTTAATTATCTCTTCTTAGGATTTACAACTTCAGTTAATTTTGAAATTACGATTCCACATTGCCACGTTATTTCAATTTTCTTCAAATTTTTTAAGGGGTTCGCAAAAAAATCACAGTATAATAAGATTAAATTTTTTATACAGAGTGTTCATAAAAAATGTTTTAATTATTAAGATATATTTCAGTTTCTTCAAATAAAACACCCTATATTTTGTTACTGCATCTCATTCTATTTTGCTGAGTATTTACATCGATATATTTGAAGAATGAGGTCGATAAATAAAGTAATAAACAGTAATAAAATACACGGTGTTCCATTTGAAAATACATATATAGATATTTGAAGATTGTAAGGTTTTAGAATTTTTTATAAACACTCTGTATATTAAAATTTTATTAAACATACCGCAACAAAGTGCATATTTTTATTTATCCTTCCACAATATATTGTAAAACAGACTTTAAAAGAACCCTATCGCCATGTTTTTGGGAATCCTTCCATTGCCAAAAAATTTCAAGAAAATTGGAATAACGTCGCAACGGCATTTTAAAAGTAAACTGTGGCTGTAAATCCTAACGAGAGTCAATCAAATTATGAAAAAATATATAGGGTGTTTCATTAAAAAAAAAAAAACTAAGTTGTGTATTATTTCTTAAAAACAGAACACTCTGCATAGTTAAAAATAATGTTAGAGTACGGTAATAATAATTAACAAGATATCAAATGTCGTACACTTAGTGACTCACCTTGTATAAATTTATAAATTAATTTGAAAAACATGTTTTAACAGTTCCACAAACTTTGCTAAAGCGTGTATCCTCAGACATAGTACTATAATTCTATTTTTAAGAGTTTTTGAATAAAATAGAGTTTACAGAGATTTAACTACTTATTTAAATTCAGCACAAAATTATGATGACGTTTTAATTCCCAAAATGTGGAAAATTAGGTGCTAATAACTTCACACCTAACTTTTAGACTTTTAGAGTGACGTTAAATAAACTTTATTTACTTTATTATTTTTTTTTTAACGTAATGATAAGACTTTTGCAAAACAAGTCTTTATGACACTTTTTAAATCTGAGGAAATTGAAAGATTGCCCCAAATTCTTTACAAGTACATAATTCTAAAAAATATTAAGCGTGTACGCTCATACTATTTTCCATATTTTAGGTGCGATTATTTATCCAGCAAAATTTCGAGATGACGTCATCAAGTTTTTGGAGGAGGGAAATAGATGTTATGCTTACGATAATCTTATTAAACGTGTGCAAGATTACGCAACATTCGATGGTGCAGTTTCTAAACTAAATTTTTAAATGTTATAAGTACGATTTTGATTTTTTTTCAAAAATTTTGATATCTAAGGTGAAAATTAAAGGCACATTCATAAATCACAGATGGAGAAGTATAGATTCGGATGTTCTCAAGCCAGAGTTAATATTACAAAGACGTTTTTCGGTTTTAAAATTTTGAGATAACGTCATCAAATTTTTGGAGATAAACAGATGTTATGATTACGATAATCTTAAAACGTGTGCAAGATTACAGAACATTGGGTTGATAACTAAGGTAAAAATTAAAGGCAGATTCATAAATCACATGTGTAGAAGTATGGTTTCGGAGGTTTTCACGGCCGGATTATTATAAAGACGCTTTTCGGTTTTACTTCCTGAAGATGCCCCTCACAAAGTGGGCGAAACGTAGAAACCTTCCTTAAATTTCACACGGTTCAAACCCGAAAAACATCTTTATAACTGTATAGAAGGAGATACGTTATTGTATAAAATTGGGATAACAGTATTTTGCAAAATTTTGAAATGACGTTTTACCATTTCTACGGTATCCCTAAAGTACATCAAACATTTTTTTTAAATCAATGAAAAAGTTTCGCAATTATCAGTTTAATAAAATCGCCAGAAAATACAGATAACATATGAAAAAGGGAGGCCTACTTTCTTATACTCTGGACGTTGTGGAACGTCCGGGGAGTATAAAACAAATTAATAACAATCTAAATTAAAAATTGAAACTGACAGTTAACTTTATAATGTAAATAAAAAACTTACAATACCTAGTTCAAAATCAGTTTTATCAGACGTTTCTTCAAAATGGAAACAATTTGTTTTCTTCTAATGAATTGTTAATAATTTCCAGAAATTACAAATGATTTAGAATATTAATACTTACTTATTTTTTATGATTTAAATCTCCTTATGTTCTGCAATCTCCTAAAATTTTGGTTTATGAAACGACGACAGATATTTCAATGTGTAATAATTATTCAAAAAAAAAAAAAAATTAAATGAAAAAATTTGTGCACATCATACAACTACAATAAATATTTTGGGATCTCTGAACAATTTTTGGACAGTTCTTGCTGATCTCTGAAATTTCCATAGCAATTTGTCATTATTAAAAAAACTGTAGAAGTGTAATAATTTGAAAAGAAATCTGGCCTGAGCTTCGCATCTGGCATTTGTAAACACCTTACGAAACTATAAATCCAACACTGAAGTCTTCATAATTTTAATTTTAATAACTCTGGTTGCACCGTGACCATGAGAGTATAAATAAGCTCGCATTTCACGAATGAAACGTCGAAATGAAAACCCGACTATTTGTTGGTTAAATAAAATACCTGTTCGTTCACCTGTTCTATCAAAACAATAAATAGCCTCTAATTTGAAACCAGAGGCGTGTTAATTTGCCCTTCACATAACAGGTTTCCGACCAACATCGCAAGAAAATTCGTAGTTCGCCGTCAAAAAAGCCGCAAATCGCAGATCGCCCGGAGACTTCAACGTTCGGTCGCGACAGGAACCCGAGCAGGTAGGCGCCCCAGGTGAACTAGGAAACCCTCCCGCGGGGTATGCGGTGTTGCCGGCGCGCCCGCGGAATTTCAAGGCCCCACCTATATCGTAGCCTCCGGAGAAGCCGCCAATCCCGACCCTGTGGTCGGCACCCCACAATCCCCCGGGGAACGGACCCACAATACCTACTTCGTCGTCGTCGTCGCCGTTCTCGTGGTGCTCGCCGTCCATCAGCACGAACCCCACGTCGTTGTTGTTGTTCTTGGCCAGGTCGGGCGTGCGGCGGCCGTCGGCGTCGGCGTCGTGGGCGCGGCGCCGCTTCGAGCGCGGGCTCAGCAGGTCGACGGTCAGCTGGTCGCTGGCCAGCGAGTCCGGCGAGTCGGGGTTGTCCATCTTCCAAAAAAATTCAACGCGCACTAGATCGGGCACATCCTGTGGCAAGAAGTTGACTAGCAAGACGGCTCGGGGCGACTGACGTTTGCAGTGCCGCGAGCAAGTGGCCATCGCAGTGGGAGGGAGAGGGGCCCCCTGCCCCCGCCCCGCGGATACCTGTTCGATTCTCGGCCAACTTGTTATATAATCTATGGCTGGCATGATTGAAAATTACTCCGGGTCGAAGCATGTGGTGTTGATGCAAGGGCGGGTGTGAAATTATGCTAGTTGAGATAACTGATGCATAGATCGATTTGATGAGGAGGTTAAGTTTGCTTTGGATTGCGTGGAGAGAGTACTGAAGATAAGTGGCATCTGGAGATGCGGATTTGTTTCGTCACGTATGAAGCGATTGCGCTTGGTGTTTGTTCAGGTTGCGAAAAATTATACCCTTTGATATTCTAATGGGGGAAAAGGAGAGTTGAGGATGGTGGGATTTGGGCAACAGAAGTTGGAGGTTTTTATTGCCACAATAAAATCGACAGTACGTAATTAAGACGGTTTACAACACAGAGGACAGCACAGAGACATTCTAACATATCACTCATGATGAAAAATATGTGCCAAGTGGTTTAGTTTTATGAGAAGCATTTCTCTTAAGATGTCACCATCATGATGTCAAGACTTTGTGATGGTTAGGATAAAAAAAACAAGGCTGATTAGTAAACTACAAGTACTGGAGTATCTTATTTTATAAAATTTAGATAGCATTTACCATGCAAACTTTGAAGTCACGTTATCATATTGCGAGTGGGGATGATCTGACAAATTTTAGTTAACGTTTTACGATCTAGAGGATATTCTAAAATACTTCTAAAATTTGATAACAACCAATTCAGTAGTTAAACAGATTATCTGTCTGTCTAATCAATATCGACACAGACGACAGATAACAGACATATGGAAATGGAGACCCAAAAGATCCAGAAAACATGAAAGTGGCCGTTCGATGGATGGATAACACTTGTATACGATCCAACAATAAACCAATTTATTTTAACTATACTAAAGAACGCAACGTCACATTAACGAATCTTAATTTAAAATTTTCGCATTGTTTTATAGTTTGCAGAATGTTAAGGAAGTTTACTTATCTATTCTTTCAGTTGACGTATAAGTATTGTAATAGACCCACCTGTGAATGAATATTTTAATATTTTCTCGACGTTTCATGATGCCTAGAGTACGAAAAAATCGGTCTCCCTTCTCCGTCTGTTCGTCGTCTGTCTCTGTGTCGAATTTTATTAAGACGGATAATCTTCAAAACTATCAAACCGATTCTCGTATAATTTTATATTTGTGTCTACAATATCGTGAAAGTGGTAAAACACTAACCAAAATTTGTCTAATCACTCCCACCAACCATGCGGTGGAATTTTACACAGTAAATTTTATTTATTTTTTATAAAATAATAGGGTCTACACTTGTGCTTTATGAATTCACCTTAAGATTTTATTCCAAGCATCCAAATTACGAAATCTCTCAGAAATCACTTACATGTACCTACTTAAACGAACTTATTTTGTTGCTTATTCCAGAAATCACTTGATTTCTCTGGAGCTTTAGAAGCAAAGTAAAGTTGTTATTAAATTGTGTATATATAGTAGCCTTGAAAAAATTGAATACGGTTAAAATGGCATTGTTAAGATTAACAAAATTTGAACAAGAAGTGACACTCGTGACCGTGCCTTTGATCTTTTGCTTGTCAATTTTGGTGACCTTCAGCCATTTTGCTGGAGTGCTTTGACGCTTGATTTTATCAAAGGTTGAATGTTGACATAAATAAATTTGTCATTTATGTCAGAAAAATTGGTCGCACGTAAATTTGTCGCATTTCCCATTTTCCCATTTCTCGTATCCCGTTTCTCATTTCTCATTGCTCGTTTCCCATTTTTCTCATTTCGAATTTTTAGTTTCTCATTCCGAGTTTCCCATTTCCCATTGCTCATTTCTCATTTCTGAAATTTCATTTCGCACTTCTAATTTCTCATTTCGCATTTCTTATTTTAACCTGTATAATTCGCTTGCTTATAAGGTGAAATTTTCACTCGTAGGTAGATTTTCTCTTTTCTTGTGGCTAACATAAATAACAATTATGAAGTCGATTAAATGGGATGTGGGAAAAGGTAAAGAAAAATAAATAAAGTAAATGATAAGCTCCATTTTCTAGTAATTAAATAATAAAGTACGTGTGTGTCTGTAAACCTTAGCTGAATCAACGTCACAACAAAACGTCTTTGTAATAGAACTTGGATTTTCTATAGTTAGAACGGTTAGAATGGTGAAAATGTGTGTATGAAATAAGTGATGACAAACGTCCATTTTAAGAAATACGATATATGCCTACAATAAAATAAAGATAGAACAGTGCAATACAGCTTTACTAAACACACTGCACATTTTGGTGAACCTGCCCACTAGAAATCGTTTTCTTCATTTGGTAACAGTGACGCTTCTTGTTTAAATTTTGTTAATGTTTTTTTTTCGACAGGAGTTCCCTGGCTCCTAAAGGACAGTCCAACAAATTCCGCTTCTTTGAAAAATGAAAAAAAAACGATATACCTATTTTTTTTGGTTGTCTACAACATCATACTTTTGTTAAAGACACTCTATATATATTTTTAGAGATTTTCGTAGAACTTATTTTTCTGAATACATAAACGTATCGCACTTTAACCATCCATATAGCTGTCACTGATTCCAACGAATTATGTTACGAAAACACACTTGTTTATATTTGAGCTAAAGTGTCCCAATGTCAACTTATGATAAGAAACGGATTAACAATTGCTCCAAAAATTTGAATGCATTGATAAACTAGGCCTGTATAAATGAGCTTTCCCATGAAAATATTCCGATCAACATTGTTATTTCAGCAAAGTATGTTAATTCCGACACGTGCCGTGTAATACTAATACTAAAATGCTGGGATGTACTGCACTTAAGATGTGATCAATAAAGAGATTTGTTATTGTATGAACGTTTTTGAGGGGATGTCATCATATTGGTGATGGGGATGTTGAGAAAAATTTTGGTTTACCATCTACATGACATTCCTAATATACATACAAAGTTTGACAACGATCGGTCCAGTAGTTTCGGAGATTACGTGTAATAAAAATCGGCACAAACCACACACAGGCGGAAACGAGAGACTATTTTTTTTTACTTTAGAGGTCATGAAACGTCAAGAAAACATAAAAGAATACACTTAGGAAGTAAACAAGAAAATAATTTATAAATTCATGTTAAACCTCGAAACTCCATTAATTCTTCATCATGAACTTCATTCAGCAATCCGAAATTTCCAGTTCTGCATTACTTTTTTCATGGTTAATGATTCACATACGTTTTTCTTTAAACACTGTTTTTATAAATATCTACTAATAGAACTCTGTATAATCGATTAGTATCATTGGGGCCGCCAATGCTCGAAGAAGCTCCTAGTAAATGTCCTCATCAATCTGTGACAGATGATGCTTTTGGATTAGAAAGCGAAGTACCTTAAAAATTATTTTAAATATTTAGCATTTATGGAATAAAAAAATTATTAGAAATCATAACATAATAAATGTAAATTTTTACGATATAAAATTCTGTCGTTGTCTACCTTCCTTACCTATTTATTGTACGTCTACTTTCTTACTCATTTATTTTCACATTTGTTTTTATTTGCATTGATTTTGAAATTGGAATTTAAAAAGGAATAGCTAAAATATGTGCAAAGTTCATAATAGGGGTTCTTATCAACTTGGATCGTAGTTAAGGCGAGGAATGAAGGCACTCCAGGTACCAGTGTAACGAGGCATGACCTTGAATCGAAGTCGATCGCTTGAAATTTACGCAGGACTGTATTCAGGAAAATAATCGTTTGTCAGGGAATTATTCGAAAGTGGAATTACATACCTGCTTACGCAGAGGGACAAGTTAGAAAAAATACATCACATTCTATTTTCAGAAAACGTAATATAAAATATAAGCATGCATAATTTAAGTAGATATGACTCTGATCCTTGGGTTGACAAGGGTTTGGAGGAGGTAGTAGCCTTCGAGATGGATTTATTAGTGCCATAAACTAAGTAGTACCACATAATCCACCCACTGTTGTAAACTTGTCTACTTCCCCGACCTTTGTCTTGAGTAATACAGATGGCAGAAAATTTTCATTACAGTTACAGATGCCTGAGTCAAACTCCCCACAAGAGTTCTGGTCAAACTATACTTCAATACCACTTTGCTTGACTCATCTTCATCTCAGTCCTCTACAAGTTTATTTATAAATAGCAGGGTAATAAACATTATTTGACAGAAGTTCATACTTTCCTCTGCCACTTTTGCTTGCCAGGAGTATAGTGAAAATGGGAAAATAGTTAATTGTAAAAAGTATTTTTTTAACATCAAAATACAAAGAAACTTTATTTCACTGACCCTGAAAAATTACCATATGACTTCTAATGAGTTTATTTGGAGACCACCACGAATAAAATTATACGAATAATTTATTATTCAAAATGAACAATTACCCGTAAAGATATCCATAAAAAAAAAACAATCGAAACCAGTTTCTGAACTCCGTTCAGTTTTTCAGCTGTAATGAAAAAACAACCAAACAGAAGTGTGCGCAGATTCGAATTTCTTGGAATGTTATTTTGAAGTAATAATTAAGACAATTAAAAAAAAATTCACGAGCTACCTGAAGGCGATTATTAGAATTAGTTAAGATAAACTGAATATTAAGAGGTTCATCAAGGAAATAATTTCTTGCCAAATCAATAAGTATATTTAATGTATGGTGAACAAAACTGAAGGTAGTGTTGACGTGAAGGCGGATGTACAATAAGGTAGGTCAGATAACTGATGCATAGATCGACTTAAGTGTGCTGGAGTTAAGAAAAGTTGTGCCTTTTGATCTTTTAATGGGGATATAATACGAGAGTGAGTGGTACGTGGATAATAGAAGCTGGAAATTGTACAATAAAAACTCTACAAAAAAATCAGGGCGGTTTTGAACTCGTCTGTAGTAAAAAA